ACTTGAGAGAATAACTAGGTTATAAGGGCTTTCTGAAAGACCAGCAGAGTCAGAGCTAATCAAATCTTGGGAGAAGTGGGTTATGAGGTTCCAACATATAGAAAAAGAATAAGAATAACCCAAAACATAAAATAAGGAAATACAGCTAAAACTAGTTTACACGAAGATTTCCACTCTACTGCTTCATAATTCTTTCTTCTTACAATCATTGCTTCTTTGAAGTCTGTATCCTATTCATACTCTTATCATTTAATCATTTAAACATCTCACCTTTTTTTTGAAGACCCTATCCACTAAATCCAAGGGGAAAAATTTCATCTTCCCCTACCTCTCAATCCATTCACTCTTCCTTTATATACATATTTATTTTACAAGTTGATTCTCATTGATTCATTCTTTCTACACAGCCAATCTATATCAAAGTTCCCTGTTTATACTGGTCATTCATTTTGCAATCCAAATATATTTATTCAGCACCCACTCTCACCTTATTTAATGACACACACTTCTTCTTAAGACTCCAATCCCTGCTGCATTACTTACCCTTACTTCTTCATAGTACCCTTACTTCTTTTGAATCACACGTACTTTGCAACAAACCCCCCTTACCTTTCTATCTGCATTCTCAACCCTTTTTTATTTTATTTATTTGGTTGGTCAATTGCTTACAAGATAATAGATATAAGTAAAAACATAGTTATGAATACATGGATACATATAAGAAAAATAAAAAAAATATACAAGAAACAATAGGACAGGGACGGTAGGCACGTTGGTGCGCTTCTGCACGCCCCCTACAGGCATCTTACGAAAAGGTGAGGTCAATAGTAGACAGTCTAAGGTTAAAGTTTTTGGGGTTTGGGGAAAAAAACCAGAGTCAGGTAGAGTATTCCAGACATTGACCACTCTGTTGCTGAAGTCGTATTTCCTGCAATCAAGTTTGGTGCGATTAACCTTGAGTTTGTATCTATTGTTTGCTCTTGTATTGTCATGGTTGAAGCTGAAGTATTCATTGACAGGTAGGGTGTTGCAATATATGATTTTATATACTATACTTAGATCGTGTTGATTTTTGTGTGGACGTATGTTGAGACAAAAGTCAATCATGCTGTGGTCGCAAAGGGTTCTTTCTGTGCCAAAAGGGTTGTTTAAGGGTTGATGTCATAATCAGGGGCTCTGTAACATAGTAAGAATTGAAATGTGATATTTAAGGACAATTCACAGACGATGGTCTCAGGAAGAGCAAGCTCCTGGGTAACTTGGATGTTTTTTAGATGTAAGGACTTTTTATAGAAGATAGCAACACCACCTCCTCTATGGATTTCACGATCTGATTGGTAAACATGATAGTCTCTTACTGTGGTAATGGAGTCAGGGAGAGATGCATTGATCCATGTTTCACAGACAAATATGTCGAATTTAGCCATATTTAGTAAGAGGAGAAATTCAGGTAGTTAGGGGCGTGCGTGCCTAGTTTTGAGTGATGGTGGGTTGGATGAGGTAGGGTTGGATGTGGAGTTGTGGGTTGTGTGACTTACTTTTGATACAATCAGTGTGGTAGTCAATGTAGAGATCCTTCTCTCCATTGTCTGGACGTCTTTTGAGTTCCTTGCAGAGTTCATGGGAGCGGATTCTTTGCAGTATGAATAAGTCTGGTCTTGAGCAAAGTTTTTTGTGGTTGGGATTGGTTTTTGCAATGGCGTTTATTGTTTGTTGGACTCATTTTTGCAAACAACTCTACAAAATTTTGGGGCCACCAAGCCACCATTGTATTTGGACTTAGGGCCATCTCTAGTTACTTCAATGATATCTTCAGGAGAGATGTTTGTTGTATTTGAGTTGCTTATGATATTATGAACTTTGATGATGTCATCTGATTCGTTGGTGTCTTCAAGACCAAATAAGATGGCATTTGGACGTTTCTGATCACGTTCAATGGTGTCTCTGATGAGTAAGGAGATATCATTTGTGGAATTATTTGATGGGATAGTAATTATTTGTGGTTGTGGTTTGGTGGTAACTTTACTTCTTTGTTAATTGTTGGGGTTTTTGTTTGTTTCTGCTATTATGGGGGAGTGAACTTGGGGTTGTTGTCTGCTCCTTTCAAAAATAGCTGCAGGCATGCAGACCGTTTTTGCCCCTGCTTTCCTCAGGCATTCAGTAACCATTTCCTCACACCCATAGGCATTCAAGCCAGCTTTCCAGCCCTCCAGCTAACTAAGCCACACCCTGACCTTTTCAAGGATGAGGAAGCGGGAGGCAACTGCTAGAAGATTAACAGCTATTACTGGAAGACCAGACCACTATCAATCAACTGCCAGGCCCACAAGCTACAGCAGGGGGTCCCCAAACTTGGCAACTTTAAGACTTGTGGACTTCAACTCCCAGAATTCTGGGAGTTGAAGTCCACAAGTCTTAAAGTGGCCAAGTTTGGAGACCTCTGCACTACAGTAAGCAGCATATCCTGCTGGGTGTCCTACTTTGAGTATGGTGTTAGAAGCTCAGCTAGTGCTCCAAAGCAATACTGCTTAAGAAAAGAGCTTGGACACTGGCTGGGAACTTGGCAGCATCTACAGGAGGAGCAACCACAATGAAACAGCATCTTCTCCCAACTTGTGCAAGAGTTTTGGAAAAAGGCAAATGATTGCATGCTCCTTAATAGATGTTGAGATGTTAATAGATGTTTTTATATAAACTGAGTATTAAGGCTGAGTATAATAGACTGAGTTTGGAAGCTGACCCCAATACTTTGAAACAGAAATCTTCTTAAGTGGACTTGAGAAATGAACTCCTGAGTAGTCCTGCATCATTGTTTCTTTCTATAGCAGAATGGGATTTTTCCAATTGTTTTGCCACAGAAGCCATCTTAACATACACAGTACAAGGTGGCATAAGCACTTCATATGCAAATTCCATTGATAATTTAACATTTCTCCAGATATAACATCCACAACTGGACATTACCTTTTCCAACACCCTCAAAAGCATTTGTGACTTCCTTTTCAACTACTTATTCAATGACATTAACAATAAACCATTCATTTCTATTTCACTTTTCAGGGAACCATTATTATTCTATACAAATCTTCGTAATTATTTCAGTTTTACTCCAAATAATTTTATTACTTTTATTTTAATTCCATATATTCTTCTGGAGGCTTCACGGAGTTGCCCTTGAAAAGCATATAGAAGCTTCCATTGATTCAAATGGCAACAATGTATGCAATGTTGGGTACACTTAAATTTGCTCATGTGACTGCAGTGATTTATAGTAAATTTCTGGCATAGGGACGGTGATGGCAAATGTTTTGGCCTTGGCATGCCGAAAATTCAGAAAATGCTTATCTTGACTCTGCTGGCATGTTCATCACTCCACCCCATGGACAAAAGAGAATTCATAACAAAGAGCAATGAATTAAATTATTTAAATGTATTCTTTAATAAATAAATACATACATACTTAAATAATTGTCCTAAAAGTGGGGCATTAAAAGAGTGCTAACAAGCAGATGACTGCAAGGAATATAAATCCTTCCATCCTCCACCATTTGGTCAGAACTGAAGAAGCTCTTTGGATGAGAAACGAAATGTCTTCAAAGAAAAAACAAAATCCAGTTGCCTTTTGGGGGGTGGGGGTGGAAAGTGCTCCGATATAGCTCGCTCGTGTGACCTTTCAGCTTCTGAAAAGAGCAGGAAAACATGCCTTGTTCTTATGTGCATTTTGGAAACTCTAGAACCCATGCAACAACAGGGCCCTCTTATGCGACTTCAAAAGTCCGAAGGTCTGATGTGTGTCACAAAAAATGAAGTGTCACATGTATCTTGGCACCGGCATAGAATCAAGTTATTCAAGGGAGCTGCTTTCTCCAGTAGCTTCTGTCAGGTCCAACATGCTGAGTGTGCCCCAAGTCTCTTCGAAGCCCACCATCCTATGGGAATGAGGATACATACCTTCTCTTTGCAGCCCCTTCCCTATAGATCTTTTCCTCTGAGATCCGATAGCTCCAATCCTAGCTGGCCTTACAGAAAGCTGTAAAAAAATAATAATCTTGCTTTTCCCTCAGGTGTTATGAAGAAGATGTTAATGGAATTTGGGGGAGCTGTGAGATGCTTTGGTTCTTGTATTTTATTATGATTGCTTTCAATCGTCTTATCTGTTTTGTCCAGTTTTTCTATTCTTGTTGCTGTCCAGAGTAATTTGCTTATGCTAGGCAGTCATATAACATTTCTAAATAAGTAAATAATTTCTCCATCCACACTTTCTTCCACATCATCTTTATGACAAACATTCTTTTTTTAATATTTCCTGTCATGGTATTTTGTAACCTAATTTTTTTCACTGATTCCAAGCATTTCACATTCTCTTTTGTTACAGCCATTTACTGCACATCCTGCTGATGATTAATTACATTTCTCAAGTATTTTTATTTTTCATGATCAATTTTTTTATTTTCATAGTCATTTCATTCATTGCTTTTCCTTTTCTCTGTGTCTTTGTTTTTCTGTTACCCACCTTTGACACCACAAAAAATGTTCCATCCCACATTTGTAACCTCTCATCATAATAATTCTCTCACTCTTTCATCATAAACAATGAAACTCATCAAATTAGTCACACTTTTAGATAAACAAGAGTGTATCAAAAGTCAGACTTTATAGGCCAATCACAATATCTTGATAATTATTTTTTTTCCATAGAAGATGCTACTGTACTTAAGGATATTCAAAGGTCACATGTCAAATAAGTAAGGAAATTTTTTAAAAGAAATGGGAACCTGTTCAAACATGCAATATAATCTGTATAATAAGATTATATTGGGCCTATAGATATATCATAAAGCGCAAACTGCCCAAGGAGCTGCTGATACAGTTCTACAGAGGAATTATTGAGTCCATCATCTGTACCTCTATAACTGTCTGGTTTGGTTCTGCAACCCAACAAGACAGACACGGACTTCAGAGAGTAATTAGGACTGCAGAAAAAACAATTACTACCAATCCTGCTGGCTTTCTGTGAAACCCTTCTTTATCCCAGACTTTGGTCCAAAGCATGGGATAAACACATCCAAAAATGAAGATCTTGAATGGAATATGTGATGGTTGGCCTGAGTTATTGTATGAGATATATTCTTTAATTAAAACTTGGTTAGAGTTATATGCAGGAGAATAATTTTAACTACTGAGAATAGATCTTAATTGCAGATATTTGGAAATTCATCTCTGTTTTGTAATTATTGTTGTTCTTTTGGTTTTGATACATTACAATGAAGAATAAGAGATTAAAAATTGTATTTCTTTACAAGACTGCGTATGGAGCGTTTTATGTAATAAGGTGTAAGTTATTGCTCACTTCCTTAAATAGCAGAGGAATCTTGAAAACATATCCACTTTAATGATTAACTGTTTAAAGAAAGGTACTCAATTAAAATTAATTATCACTTAATACTCCTAGTATAATGGCTGTTATATTTCTGTACTATCCATTATCAATACATTTATATTTATGTTGTGTCGTTTGCTTATCTGGTATTCCTATAGGGTTGAACTGTTTATTCTAAATTAATTTGATTTTGAATACATATAAAAATCCAAATACATATGAAAATGAGTTGAGGTCCATTTCTGGGGCCTGAGGGCAACTCCATTCAGGATCTAAAGAATAGAAAATTGAACCCCTCAATAATTAAACTTAAAAGATATCATGTACAGATTAAGTTGTGAAAATATCTGGGAGCCAAGTATATACAGTTGGGTTGGTTCATTCTGGTAGAATGGTTCAAAGGAATTTCTATAAAAGATGGGATCTGGAAAAAGAAATAAAAATGATCATGAAAATATGCAAGAACATAAGAAAGGGTGGTCGCATGAAACAATATTCTCCTTAGCACCCTTAAGATATCCGGACTTCAACTCCCACAATTCCCCAGCCAGCATGCTAGCAGGAGCATTCTGGGAATTGAAGTCCAGACATCTTAAAGTTGCTGAGGTTGAGATTCACTGGTGTAGAAGTTAAGCAGATAACCATGGCCAACAAATACCAATGTGCATTCTCAATTACATTTAATTAATCATTGCAAATCTTGATATACTTCCTCTGAAAATGATTTATGTGATTTTTAACAAGCTATAATTCTGAGCAAAGAAAATATTCACAAGAAATTTTTTTCCAATGGAATGAAAGGGGACTTTGCAGAGAAGCAGTTCAGTTGTGTTTCCTTTTGTAGATTTCTACACTGTACATTTAGTGAGGTTAACACTATGTAATATATAATGCTTTGATATATATTCTGGAAAAAAAAATAGGGGGAGGAGAAAGTAACTTGAGATGATAACGCAGTAGGGCTATGGAGTATTTTACTAGTTAAGACTATTGAGAGATGATGAGGATAATGCTAATAATGAATAGAATAATTTATACCATGCCTTTCAGCGTGCTCTCAAGGTAGGTCACAAAGAATTGCTATTACAGTAAAAAAAACTACTTTTGTTTTAAAACATTAAAACAAAAATAAAGGAGTAACACAAAAAGTTTAGTGGAAATAAATAACATGTCCAAAATAAAATGTTGTCCTTTTGTATCTAAGCAATCTCTATTATTTCCAGAATTGTAGAGACAGGTGATTTCCCAAGGGTTGCAGGATATACTAGTTTCTCCTCCAATTTCTTGTACTTTAGCAATGAAGAGTTTCAGGCTTAAATATCATGACAAGAAGGCTTTGGTTAAAAATCCTTTTACCTTACATATCCACTTCTTCCTACTGAGGGGATCAAACTGGATGGGCTACAGAAAACAATGTTCAAGCTCACCTTTCCCCTATAATAAATATTTCAGGAGAGAACTGGCGAATAAGCAAGGAAATGTTTGGCTCTTTCTTAAGCGATTATTGGTTAGAAATCCCCACTTGAAAGTTGTTGTTGTTTTTAAACTGGGGTTCCACGGTTAGAAATGACTTCGGATCTGAAGGGGGAAAACTCCTGTGGTGGATTCTGGAGGGACAAAAAATGACAAGTGGGGCAGAGTTCTGCTTAGCAACTCCCTGGCTTGTTGTAAGGGGCCCCTTACTCTCACATTCCTACTATCTTGGCAAAATGAGAGGCGGGTGAAAGAGGTTGAGTGGTTGTGCTTGTCACATCCAGACATAATACACTTCGCTTAGTTTTAGCTTAGAATGTTGTGAAAACTCAGCCCTTCCATTTTGCAAATCATAGTTTATAATATTTTGATTTGTGATTGGGCCTTATTAAACAATTGTATGGCTTAGCGTAATGTGTAAAAGTAGTGCATGTTTAGCAGGGCCTTATATAATAGCAAGAGCAGTTAGACTTATGTACTGCTTCATAATAGTTACAGCACTCTCTAAGTCTAAGTGGTTTACTGAGTCAGCACATTTCCCCCAACAATCTGGGTCCTCATTTTACCAACCTCAAAAGATGCAAGGTTGAGTCAACCTTGAGCTGATCACGATCGAACTGCTGACAGTGGGCAGTGAGGAGAGTTAGCCTACAATATTGCATTTTAACCACCACGACTCACAGACAACCGTCATATATCCAATTGAAACTGACAGCCCCAATTTATGGGTAAATGAATTCCTTAGCATTAACGAAGCTACTGATATCTTTATGCAACTCTTCATGAGCAGAAATTATACATCAACAATTGCTATCCGGGATACGGAACCCCTGTGTTTAGGAAGCCAAAGAAATGTCCTCATCAGTTGTTCCTAAATGCAAAGCCAGGGGTTTGATTTATTTATTTAAAACATGTATATAGGTGCCTATTATATAACACAGAAACTAAAATAAGAGCATAAAAACTAAGCGTGCTAAGAAACTTTAAAAACAACAAAAACCTTGTACAAGCCGTATAGTCTCTTATCCCAGTGCCAAGCCTTCAAAGCTTTATGGGTAGGTAAAAGGGTAGAGAGGCCTGTTGAGGTCCAGGGGTCAGTCAGTGCTCCATAGGGCAGGGGCTGCCACTGAAAAGGCATTTTTCCTACTCATCCGTTCCTAGGGATGAGCAGTGCAGGTTACCTTGAGATGAGCTGTGTTAAAATTATGTAAAGAAAATATGAAAATTTGCTTTGGCAAATTCTTGTAGACAATGCCATAAATCAAGGGTCTTCAAACTTGGCAAGTTTAAGACTTATAGACTTCAACTCCCAGAATTCATGAGCTAACATGACTGGAGGAGAAATTCTTCCTATCCAGCAATGAGTATTTTTGCAACAGAACTGGTTAATTCCAAAAGGCTAACCAAACATTTCAGTCTTTAGCTTCTAAACAAAATTATCAGTTTGCTGTTTAAGACACCTTTTCTGATTAATTTTGACAGTGGAACAGGCCACTGCTGCACTAATTAAGCATCTGGGATTATCAACTGAAAATTAATCTTCAGGCTCATATTCTGCAAGTCTGGCCTCCAGAGACACTCTAAATAAATAAATAAATAACATCAGGGTTAAGTATTCCTTGCCTTCTGACAGTGCTAACATTGTATGAATACTAACCAATTAAAGTAGCCCATTTCCCTGGAAATAGTTTCTTTTTAAAGTTCTGCATTCTGGTTCCAAAGCTCCTGCTCCAATACAGTAAGCAATACTCTTAAATGTTATTAGAATCGAATCGAATCGAACAGAATAGAATTCAATTCTTTATTGGCCAAGTATGATTGGACACATAAGGAATTTGTCTTCGGTGCATAAGCTCTCCGTGTACATACAAGCAATCATGACCATAGTAATCATAAATACATTCATCATGAATCATAAGATACAACACTAAATGTGATTTCAGATTATTTTGCATTCTTAATGTTCTGTAAAGTTAGCCAAATGATGGCTGAATTTGTACCAATCAATGCACCAGACCATAAATTAGCCAACTACATTTGTGTGGTGTGAATTCATAGTGCGGCTAACCCTTGGGTCAGTAAGCCAACTGAAACCATAAAATGGATTTTGAGTAACCAATTTTTAATCAAAAGTACTTGTGTCAAATAAACACAGCCTAAGATTTTTTCGCCCCCAAATAATTCTCTCAAGGGTTTCAGTTCGGCTTAAGACATAATAAACATGATTAGGGTTGCAACTCTATTCAGAAAACAGTGATGGTGTATGCAAATGGATCTCACCTATATCCAGTACTCTGGAACAGTCAAGGGCTATTTTGGGGGCGTTATGGATAAATCTGAATTGTCTATGTGGTTGAAGATGGCTCTGAACATGGTTGCATGCAGTTACTTTTAATTGTGTTGCTATACAGCCTCACCCCATTTTTGGCGCACCTCCAATCCTCACTAACATTTGCTAAAACCCTTTAGGTTGCCGTCCTACTTACCCAAGAAAGTCTTAATTCCCGTTAATGCATTTCTGAGCATGTGTCACACAGCAGGCTCTACCGGGCCAAGCTTTCAGAGAGCCGGCACACAATTAAACTCGTGTTCGTCTATGTATTATTAATACTTCTCAAGACGGGAGAAAATCGTCAGGATGCAGCCCTGCCCCCCCCCTTCCCCCCTCTTCAGCGTTTGTTGACGGCGACCGCTTCCTGCGAGTCTGCAGCGTGCTTGGCCAGATGTTCCTCGCTTTTTTTTTTCCTTCTTCTTTTTCCTTTTCTTTTAAAGGCTTATTATACCCACCCTGACAGCTCGCGCCCGAGCCTTTTTCTTCCAGAACACAAAGTCTCACCGGGATCGCTTAAACTTTTTTTTTTTTTTTAGGTTTCTCCCCCCACCCCCCCAATCGAACTTGTCCGAAAAGGCTCGGCGTATTCATTATCCTGTGGCCCGACCTAAGCTGAATGCCCAGTGCCCATAACGTCGTGAGTCTAAGGGTCTGAAAGCTGCTGAAAAGCAAAAGAACTTTTATTCTAGTAGCGCTGCTGCTGTTGGTTGGTTATTGTCCGCCGAAGTTTAGACAAGATCACCCCGGCAGCAGAGGCAAGCCGTGGCCACAAAGCCCGCTGTCAACAAAGCGCCGCGCCGTGGGTTGGAGCATAATTGATTCCTCCCTCTCTTTCTCCGGCTCTTACAGCATCTCCCTCCGCCAGGCGGCTCCGCTTTGTCCGGCGGCTCTGCTGTCCCGCTCTCCTCTCTTCCCTCCCTCCACACACACAACACACACACACACACCCCCGCGCCGCCACAACCTAAGGGCCCGAGGGATGGAAAGATCCAGCCCCGAGCCCCGCGATCAGCCTCGTGCAATCGCCCAGCTGCCCAATCGATCGCTCCTTCCCCACCCCCAGGCTCGCCACCCCGGGAGGGTAAGGAAGGGAAGAAGGCGACAAAGTCGAGAAGGGAGAATGCATGATTTTAAAAATCATAAATACAAATAAATATATATATATTTTTCTCTAAAACAAAAAGGAAAAAAAAGTTTGGTAGTTTGCTCAATTGCGGGATTCCTCCGAAGATATGCCTAAAAGTGGACTTCCCTGCTGCATCACAGAATAAGGAATCACTGATCAGGATTTTTAAAAAGAGAGACTTTTTCCATTTTTTTTTTTTTTCCCCCCCCCCCCTTCCTAGTCCCAGAATTTCCGGGAACAAAGAAGGGGAAATGCGGGGGTGTGTGTGCGAGGGAGGGAGGAATGAGGATGATTCCGGGTTTGGCTGCTCAGGTCTGCCTGTAAGGCAAAGCTTTCCAGTGTTATTGATCTTTGCACATTTCACCCCGCGGTCGCTGTAGCCAGTCGAGGTTTCCTGCCTTTGTGGAAACTCTGCGTATCCCCTTGTCAGAACTCCTCAGGGAAAAAAACAAACAAACAAACCTTCGCTCCCCTAGTAACTTCCCACCAACAAATTCACAAGTATATTAGCTTAGAAAGGACCAGATTCCCGGATGCAGAGAAAACACGTGCGTCCATCCTTCATACAAATGTTAACCCCTTCCTTTAAGGAGGGATGTATATACACACGTGACGAAGTGGAGGGTGACTCGCGAAACTAGCATAACGCCACCCGGAGCCTTCAGTCTTTTCTAGGGCGAAGAAAAAATGCTCCGTAAATAAGCCTTTGGTTATCCATTTACAATTCCGATTAGATTACTCTTTAACAGGTGAACCAGGAAAGAAGAATTCGTCTTCGGACCCTGGCAACCTTTCTTCTTTACTCCAAGCTCGAGGTTTGGGCGGGAGGTGGCGGTGGGTGGGAAGAACCACCGCTTTGGAGTACTTTTGAACAAAACCTCGGGAGTTTTTCAAATTCTCGTGTATTTCTCATAAATCGAAGGCGGCAGCAGCAGCAGCAGCACCACCTTTACATAACCAGCGTGGGTAATAAATCACCACCACGCCTCCCCTCAGGAAGAGTGATGATGATGAAACATCTGCTCTTACAGGTATCCCGACAAATACCGCCGAGATGACTAAAAGGGCGCTAATTGCGGGAGAGCGCTGGATTCACGTCAGGACAGGTGAGGCCGAAAGGTGCGCCTTTAGCGGCCGTTGGCCGAGTTACAGCGCTGGAAACGATCCCGCGTCCGGCCCGCGTCCAGTAAACAGCCTCCTCCCCCCACCCCAAGAGCGTTAAGAAGTAAGGAAAGAATCGGCGCGGCGCTAAGCTTTGGGAATACAGTGCATTTATTTGTCCCAGGCTGGCGATGAAATAAAACCAAGCCGGCCAACGCCGCTTTTGCTTCGCGTTAGGTTAGGGACGCAGACGACGGGTCGGCCACTGTCTCTCGGCACTGTTGTTGTGCCTGTTCTGCGGAGGCTCGCCTTTTACCCTCCCCCTTCTCTGGATTGGGCTCCTAGGGAGCTTTAAAGACCAGGCGGGCTTGTGCTCTTCCCCCGCCTGGTGTAATTTATGCTGCGCTTCTCAGGCCGATTGCGTAGCTCAGCCGGAGGCAGCGGTGAGGCTGGGAGAAAGGAAGCAGCAGCCCGCGTACTTGTGTGTGTGTGTTTTAATTTCGAGGCTGTCAAGAGGAATCTGGAGCAGCAGAAAGAGAGAGAGAGAGAGAAGGAAAAAGTTGTATCGCTCGGGAGAAGCCGGGGCCAGAATCCGCGCTTGACTCCCCACCCCACCCCCCAGCCCTGCCGTGCAAAAAGGAGGGGACGGCGGCGGTTCTCACACACGCGCACAGAGGGATACACGCTTACCCGCACAAAGACCGACTCGGATGTTATTACTGGAGACCGGGCGCACGCTACGCGCGCCTCTAACCTAGACGCCTCTCCGTCCCTTACTTTGCTCTGGGGTCTGAATCTGAATCGGAGAGTGGCTTTTTCAGCGGCGCTTTGGGGCGGAGAAGGGGGCCGTTCAGACATTCCCTGCGTGGATGCCCTTCGCTTTCCCTCTTCCCCCTCCCCCCCCTCCTTAACACGGCGTGCTGCTGCTGCTCCGGCAGGGAGGCGGTGCGCGAGCAGCTGCTGCGTTTCCTGAGCAAGACCGCCTTTTGTTTTTGCTATTGCACCGAATTAAGCCTTCCCGCCCCCGCCCCGTTACCCCCACCCGCGGACCAGGCAGGAAGGGGCAAACCGGGGGCAACTGCCCATGCGGGTAAGCGGTCATCGCCTCCTTTCCACCCTTCCTTTCACCCACCCCCGGTGTACTTTGCTCGGCGGCGGCGGCTGCTGCTGCTCCTCCTCCTCCTCTTAAGGAAGTTTCCTCCCCTCTCTTCTTCTACCACCCGCGCCGCACTTCCCCTATTTCGCAGGCTGCCCGCCCCAACTCCTCGGGGAGGAAGGGCTGTTACCATCACCCCCTTATCTCGAGCGGGGCTGGGCTGGGCGCAGACCACCCTCCGGCCCCTCAGCGAGGCCGAATGCCGGTGGCCGCCAATTCGCCACCCCGCACGGTGCAGCAGCCCGACTCCCGCCCCTTCTCTGCCACCGCCCGCCTCCGGGACCGGGACCCCGCCAAGCCCCACCACCACCCAGGGGCCGTCGGCGCCGACGAGCGCCAGGAGCCCCAGCGTCACGGCCAGGCCGGCGGGGAAGCGGCGGGGCGGACGGGCGGTAGTGGTGGCGGCAGAGCGGCGGCTCCTTCCGGCGCCCCTTCGCCAGCCTCTTTGCTCGCCTTCTTGCCGCCCTCGCCGCCGCTACGTCCCGCTGGGGGCCCTTCGCCGCCGCCGGAGCCCCCTCGGACTCGCTCCCGTTCTCGCTCCGGTTTCTTCAGCCTCCTCGCCATGAACGGCGGCACCACCGCTACAGCCGCCGCCGCCGCCGCGCACTTCCAGCCGCCGCTTCCTGCCCCACCGCATCTCCATGGGCCGAGCCTGCCCGAGTTAGGCGCCCGCAGCCAAGGCAGGGGCAGCCCCGCTGGACACGGGCACCCTCGAGCCCCTCCGGGTGCCCGGGCGCCCGCACCAGGTAATGGGGCCCTGGCGGGAAGGGATTGGGGGGTGGGTGGGAAGGCAACGGGAGCAGGCAGCTGGGCGGGCTGCGAGCTGGGGAGTTGTCTGGGCTTTGGGCGGCGGAGGGCACCGCGCGAACGAGCAAGGTCTTGGGAAGTCGCAATTGAAGGGGGAGCCGCCGCCGCCGCGCGAGGAGAGAACGAGCGAGCGGTGACCGAGCCGGGCTGCTCCAGGCTGGCTTTGCGGGAATGGGAGGTGACAGGATGTCCGTGAAGTGACTAATAAAAGAGCGTTGAGGTGAATTATAAATGGATGCAAAAAAAGGGGGGGGTAGACAGAAAAATGGGGCGGGGGCTGAGGAGAATTTGGGAAGGTCTTGGCAGCTTTCCGATTAACCGTGTTTACTTGGAAGTGAAGTCCCACTGAGTTCAATGGGACGTAACTTCCTACTGAGGCGTGTTTAGGCTTTTCGCTTATTATTGGTTTTCTCTCTCTCTTTCTCTCTCTCTCTCTCTCTCTCCTCTTAACGCGTGCTTAGAATTGCACGGCTGGGTTCGTGTTGCTATCCTGACGAATCCCGAGATCGCCGAAACACCCTCCAATCCTTTTTCCTTTTCCATGTCTACACGTTAATGATCAGAAGTCGGACCTTCGCCTTAGCGAAGCGTCGTGTAATAATGATTGTAATCGGAGACTGGGGTGGAGTGGAGGGGGTAAGGAAAGGTTAGGGAAGGTGGGTAAATGAGGCACAAGGGGAAGAGGCTGCTTAGTTTAAGGCTTGGGAGGAAGGGATGGTGAAAAGAAATTCAGTTTCCCAGTAGTGCTTTGCTCTTTGTGGGTTCAGGGTTTGTTTATAAGCAATATCTGGCTACACTTATTTTCCCCACCTTTTGGTAGAAGGACAGAGAGCTAGTTAATACTTTGGACTTTCTTTTTAGTACTTTGCTTCTGTCATACTGTGCTTTAGCCATAGCAGTTGTAATATGGCATGTGCTCTTCGGCTGCTGGTTAAGTTAGTTCTGATTCTTTAGTATTGGATGTGCGAGCTCTTAAATCTGGATGGACAATTAAGATAGCTTTGTCTCCTAGAATTGAAGTTGGGAGGTTTCAAACATAGGATGAAATGTCTATTAGCGGTGGATATTATGTGAGAGTGAAAAAAGAGGGTCCATACTTTGGATTTGGAGGAAAATATCAAGCGGCCTGACAGGATATAATAAAGTTAACATGGTAAAGTTTGACTGGATTGCAGCTAATACGTTTTTCAATATGTAGAAATAGCATGATCAGGATCAAAGTTGCGTTGAATCAAAGTGCAAAATGTGAGAGTAGTTTATTCAACTATATTTGTATAGTACTTTTATTTGAAATGCCTGTAAAAAACAACAGTGGAGTCTGCTGGGTTATAGGTGTAGTCCAATAACTAAATTGCTGTCATACAAACAGTATGTACTCAAAGCTAATTTTTTTTTGTTTTAAGTCAGTGTGTGAATTTTTCTCCTGCTATAAGAAGAAAAATGTATAGTTGTGACAAATCTTTTTTTCTTTTTTGTGCTTTTCCAGTAAATCTTTTTTCTCAAAATACAATTTTATCCATAGAATAGAATAGAATAGAATAGAATAGAATAGAATAGAATAGAATTAATTGAATTGAATTGAATTGAATTGAATTCTTTATTGGCCAAGTGTGATTGGACACACAAGGAATTTGTCTTGGTGCATATGTTCTCAGTGTATATAAAAGAAGAGATACATTTGTCAAGAATCAGAAGGTACAACACTTAATAATAGTCATAGGGTACAATAAGCAATCAAATCATACTAGGAAATGATCAATAAAAAATTAAAATAAAAAATAAAAATTTCAGCAACATTGTGAACTCAAGTACAGTATGCCTAGGATTAGAGCATGTTACCATTTTATTCCTCCAAACCAATAGTTTGTTTATATTGGTTGCATTTTTAATTTATTTATTACATTTGTATGACCTCCCCCACCCCACCCCACCACCCCCACCCCGGTCACCTATATGGTGACACTGGGCAGCTATATGAACCTTTTTTATATGAACTTTGTAGACTTGGGGATTTTTAAGCAGTCATAGGGCTTTGTGAATAATAATACAGCAATGTAACATTTGTGGAATGTCCATGACTGATAAAGCTTTAAGGTAACAATACAGTTTTGTTCAATTAAAAATTGCTTTGAATAAATTAAAAATGCCCCAGCTGTAATTCTTCCCGGAAGACACACCCTCTGCCCTGCAAGATCTTACTCCTAATTCCAGATGTATGTGGGCTGGTTGTGGTTACTCAAATGCGAGGGAAATACACATTGCAGGTTATGAAACGAAACCTATTTCTTACATGACCCTTTTTAAAGTCAGCTTTCCTTTGCCTTAATTGAATACCAAAGTAGAATTCGTATAGGTTCATATTTTGTTGTCTAAAGCATTTGGGTGTAAAGAAAACTTTTTTGTGAGTTAACTAAAAAATAAAAATGCCAGCACATTTCTCTATTTTGGAAGAAAATCACACAATTTAAAACTTGTTTTAAAAATGTGAGTTCCAAGGAATGTCAGTCTTTCTTAAACGCAGCAACCTGTGAACAAATTTTACAGTCATTTGGCTAGAATAAAAAGAAAGTTAAATGAACTTCTCTGGAATCTTATGAATTTAGCACACATCACCAGAATAGATTTGTTCCACAAACAGAACATAGCACATGTGGATTACATCTGTTGTTCCTTTAATGGAGCAAGCAAACAATATTTTTTTTTTAAATTCTGGCAATGAGTTTTACATAGCCAGATACAGCCTCTTTTCCAGAAATAATCTACTTAATGTTATAAGATGTTATAAGAGAATCTTTGGGGACAGTGAGTACCAAAAAACTTTAAAGAGAATCTTATGGATGTTGTCACTGAATGGCTATCCTGATGCTCTTACCTGTTCACAAGCTACTGCCAAACTGGTACAGATACATTTATGTATTTGTTTATATCTCAGTTTATTATTTTTACAAGGGAGTAAATGTATCCAATATTCCTTCTATTTTCCTCACAATAACAACCCCATGAGGTGGGTTGGCCTGAGAAAGAATGACTGGCCTAAGATCACCCAGCTGACTTTCATGCCTAAGGCAGGACTAGCAGTCAGTTTCCCGCTTTCTAGCCTGGTGCCTTAACCACTAGACCAGGGGTCCCCAACTTCCTGTCCGTGGACCAGCACTGGGCCTCAGCATGTCCGCAACTGGGCTGCACAAACAAGTGAAGCCCCATCTTCAGGATGCAAAACCACATCCATTCCAGTCCATGAAAAAACCTCTCTCCACAGAACCAGTGCCTGGTGTCCAAAAAGTTGGGGGCCATTGCACTAGACCAACCTGGTTCTCTTCCTCTTTCCCCTCCGTAGGCTCGCTCAGTATGTACATTTATAAACAAAGCAATCCACTATTTTTTAAAGAATACTCGTTCAGTACTTTTAGAACCCAGAGGCCTTTTTGACTTTAAAAAGTGTTGCTTTAACTTTGCAGTGTGCCAACAATACTTCCTGTGGGTTGTTTTTTTTTAAGTCAGGTGAAACAGGAAGCCTGACAGGTGTTGAGGAAAGTACCTGCAGGTACAATGGAGTCTGTGCATATTTCAGTGGTCTACATGCTTGCTTTATTGTATTTACAGTAAAAATGCAACTATTTGTGCTTAATTTTTAATTAAGTGAAATACCGAGATTTGTACACCTCTTACAGTTAAGATTCTGCAGTCCACATTTTGCTAGATAGTTCAAAACGTTCTCTTTTATCTCTAGTTAAAAAAAATCTTTAAATAAAATAATCTGGCACAAATTAGCAATAACAATTTGGAATGTGTGTAACGCATGTAGTTTGAATGTAGTTTCTAAGTTACATTTAGGTGTACTGTAGTTATTGGAATAATAAAGTACATAGATAGGCCTGACTAAAAAGAAAGGGGCTTATTTGTTTGTTTTTATATTGGATTTTATTAGTTTCTATTATCATTTATTATTTTATGATGATGTTGAATTTCAGACTTGAATGCAGACGTGCATAATATTGAGTATGACCAGTAAATATCACTAAAATAGATGGTTTTACTTCCAATTAAGTATGTATAACCACCATAGTTGGAACAGGGCTATGAATCTCTGTGACAAGTACTATGACTACATTTTTTTAACCTCAGAAATAAATATACCTTCAGTTAAGAAGTTCAGGGAAAGATTACTTGTGGATT